CTGCCAGGGGCCCTGGGGAGCCCTGAGGGAGCTGCCAGGGGGAGGGGGCGGGAGGGCGGACGTGAGGAGACAGGGCGTCGTGAGGGGAGAAGCGAGGAGACGGGGCGTAGCGAGGAGATGGGGCGTTGTGAGGAGACGGGGCGTCGTGAGGGGAGAAGTGAGGAGACGGGGTGTGAGGCAGCGGTATGTAAAGTGCCCAAGTCAGTCAGTTTCTCTGGGAGAAAACTGGTGCCGGTGAAAGTCCAACCCGTTTGGCCAGGGATGGACGTGCCTTGGGACGGAGGTGATCCTCCGCAGCCCAGGCTGTCACGCATCAAAGAGGGTTGGCGCAGGTGGGAGCTGAGACCTGGCAAAGAGCGAGCTGCAGGGTGCCTGTAGATCTCTTCTGCATGGGTAGCGGAGGAGCGTCAACAAAGTCATCACTGTGCCCTTCAGAGAGGGATTCATCCGGTCTCTGTCCCACCAGGGAGTCAGCGATGTCCGGGCCGATACAGGCACAGCTCTGCCCTTAGTGCATGGTTGGCAGCAGCCCCCTCTGCGTCCAGAATTCCCCCCAGAGACAAGGACTGTTGGAGCTGGTGTAAAGCACGTGAGCTAAAAGTGATCTTAGATAGCACGAGGTGGGGGACAGCCGTGGGGCGCAGCTCTCCTAGCTCCCTGCTTTATAATCTGCTGCAGCTCCTACTTCAAAAGCCCTTTCCGAGCCCCTGGTTGGGGGGGATCCGCAGTGCCGGAGCCTGATGTGCAGGCGGGATCGAGCTGTGTATTGAATGCCGGGGGCTCTATAGGTTCAGTGGTATTGTATTGAATGCCGGGGGCTCTATAGGCTCAGTGGTATTCACACATGGAAGCAACTGCAGAACCGGCACCTGTGAACCACGGCAGCACCTTGCCTGATCCATTCTTGACTTCTGTGTGAGAGCTCATCCTCACATAGAAATGGGTCACTCATTCAGCCTCTGTGTTTATTTTCCTGGTGAAATAAAAGCACGGGAACATTTGCAGTGAGTCACACCCCAGGTCCATCAAGCATGCAGAAGTGAGGAGAAACCCAGGAGAAAGAGGGAAAGGATGGGGTAAGGTTTCCTTTCACACATCTGGCTTCTGGGCAAAGTTTCTAGAGCCAGAGCTTGTACCCATTGCTTCAATCACTCAGCCTCTGTGTTTATTTTCCTGGTGAAATAAAAGCACGGGAACATTTGCAGTGAGTCACACCCCAGGTCCATCAAGCATGCAGAAGTGAGGAGAAACCCAGGAGAAAGAGGGAAAGGATGGGGTAAGGTTTCCTTTCACACATCTGGCTTCTGGGCAAAGTTTCTAGAGCCAGAGCTTGTACCCATTGCTTCATGCTTAGCAGACACCCATAGACTGTTAGGAGTTTGTCCCATCTCTTTTTGAACCAGTGTATTGATTTGGTCTCCATAGTATCCTGAGGCAGTGAGTGCCACGACTTCAGGAATGTGTTGTGTGAAAAAATATTTCCTTTTTTTTGTTATAAACTTGCTGCTGGGTGATGGTATACAGTACCCTCAGTTGTGTGTTACAAGAAGCGGAGACAGTTGTTCAGTTTTCACTTTCTCCAGGGTACTCATGATTTTATACATCTCCATCATCTCCCTATCTTCAGCTTTCTCTTTTCCGTGCAGAAGAGCCATAGCTTTAAAACATTGAACTGATTAAAGAACCATATTAACAGCATATTGGCTTATTATAAATTTTAAAATAACGACTTCCAATAGGAGTCCTTTTTACAAGAAATGTGCTGTTCAGATGACACAATGCATTCTTGCAGACAGTCAATGATTTAGGATTTTGGAGTTAACAAAACCCTACAGAAATCTGCAGAGAAAGATGTTCCATTTTATTTAAAACTTCTTTCCCCAAATTCATAGTCCCTTGGTCTCCGATTTCTGCGTGATGCCGTTCCCAGACTTCACTGCCTGTTGGTGTCTGTGTAGCAGCAGTCGATACTCACTGTGCTCGGTGTTCCTTTCCATGGAGTTACCTTAATTTGCTTGCTGGGAACCAAGTAACTTTCAGATTTGCAAAATTTCAGCAGGTTGTGGCATTTCTGATATTTCCTTTCCCCAAATCTCTTGTGCTATCAGCTTGTCTTTTATTGAGCATTTGTATATAAATAAGTGGTGTAAATGTTATTGTCAAAGGAATAGGAAAGCCTGATTCTCTGCCTGCTGCAGAAAGAGGCAGAATAAGCCCGGATGCCATCCTAGAAGAGCCATCATCTAGGAAAAAAGCATATTTATTTTTCAGTTAGATTTTGGGGAGAAGCAGCCTAAGTTTTTCTCCTGTCTGAAGCAAACAGATGACATGTAGCTGTATAATTTTAGTAAACAAGGCTGGAGATGCATTAAGATTTAAATGATATTAAAGATCTGAAAAGGAAAATAATCATTGCAGAAGTCACTTGTAATGCAGATGGTAAATGCGTCATCCTTAAGGGTCCAAAGCCGACACCACTGCAGCTAGCCGCGGCAGGATCTGTGTCAGGGCGATGTTGATTTTAGCAAGTGCAGACCTGCTTGACTATCTTTTCAACTTTTTCTCTGTAAATAGTAACAGTTTGTTTGTTTGTTTGTTGAGGTATTTCCTGGCTTAGGCAACAACTAAGTGTTTGTCGAAGATGTAGTGAGATTGTGTTTCATCAGTAAAAAATGTAGGGCCTGATAAATTATTATTCTGCACAGTAAATACCTTGTAGACAAAAGACTTTGTATGGCCAGGAGCCATGGGAGGTGGGGTGGGAGAGCGGGGCGGTATGCAGAGTCTTGAAATGCCCTGCGTGATCCCAATTCCTTAGGAAAGACTGGAAATACATGAAAACAGAGCGAGTCTCTTAATCCGTGGCTGTGGAAACCCAATGCCTGCTGTTTCCAGAAGGGTGTTGTCTCCCCAGCCTTCACGTGGAGGCTGACACGGTTCTTAGCTCTAACACTGCAAAGATGAGAGAGAAATGCAATGCAAGGCTGTGTTCATACACAAAACACAAAATACCCCCTGTCATCTTAGCACGGGAGCTTATAACTTTGGGGAAGAGCCCATGCAGGACATCTGACCTGTATGCAGAAGGCAACACACGGCCTTGTCACCCAAGCAGGGGGCAGGGAGGGGAAGCCCATCCTGGTGCTGCCAGCAACCAGCCACCGGCAGCATTGATGGCCTTAGAAACTGCTCTCTGAAGCGCTGTGCCACCAGACTGGGACGTTGTTAGGGTCACTGGCAGGTTTACGGTGGCTTGTGTGCACGTCTGTGGGCACAAGAGACATTGGCCCAGTGAACCTGACTGCCCGGAGAGCCCTGACCGTAGAGAATGGCTGTGAGCAAGGGACAGGCAGATGCCACGGCAAGACTGTGCCCAGGGGTCCCTCTCTAGGCCTCGCACAGGCAGGTTAACCCACTCTTGCATGCACAAGAGCTTGTTCACACAGCTGTGTCCCCTTGCAGCATCCCCAGCTCAGCTAGACCTCGTGCTTCCAAGCCCAAGCTGTCTCCCTCAAGAAACCGCAGCTCCACACACACGTGAGGGTGACCAGGACACAGAGCCTTGACAGACTGCCCCCCAGGCACCGCCTGCTCCTGTGAAGGTCACTCCTGAAGGTTGACTCGTACAACCAACCTGTAACTGCCAGAGGTTTTCTAGAGATCTCCTATTATTGTTGATTTGCTTTCTTGCTTTACAATCAGTTGGCCATTATTTTGTCCTCGCCTGCCTCTGAAAGTGGAGTCTAAGCACTGCAGAGATTGTCTCGTCTGCCTCCTTCCCGCTGGCAGGCTCGGCCATGCCCGGCAGTTTGTCCATGCTGGCAGGCAGATCTGCTGAGAGCAACAGGGGAATCGGGCGCCTGTTACCCAGCGTAGTTGCTGGAGGCCCAGCTTGCTCTCAGATATCTCCATTATCGCTGATCTCTGAGAACATAGTATGCCAGCACACTGAGTGCATGGAAAGAGAAGGATCCACTTCGCACAGTCTATGAGGAGCTGCTTGACTCGTGAGGGAAGGGGCCGTATGAGGGCCACAGCAGCTGTCTGAATTTTGTGGTGGAGTCTGAACTGGTAGACTGGGCTTTGTCTCACGTGCATGTGGCAAGCAGGTACTTTGCTCGATGTGGATATGCTTAACAGGATAGGTGGCATGGTATGCACACAATTCCTGGGAGAATCGCTATCATTGCTGGGATTTTCAGCAGTCTTGCAGGCCGTTCTCTGTATCTGATCATCTTTTGCAAAGTGGATAAGGAAATGACGAGAATGGAGATGCTACTAGATAAATACCAAGCTTGAGAGGTGTTACAAGCCTCCTCCCTTGTGGTTTAATACTTTCACTAGCAGCCCTGCCATGGGAACTGAGGGTGTGCAGAGAAAGTCTGTCCGTTACGCGAGGTCAGGAGATGTGGCCAGTGCAGAGAAGGTTACGCTGACAGCCCCTGCTGACGCTGTTGGGTACCTTGTGCTAGATAGGGAAGGCGCTTGGCGTACAAGTACTCACCATGCAGGACTGAGGAAGTGGTCAGAAGGTCTTGGTTGTAACCTAGGTTTGATCCAGGTGGGTATGAAGGTCTTTGATGCTGGCAGATGGTTTACATGGTGCGGGCAGGATAGAAGGAACAAGACAAGTATGTCGTTGGTCGACAGCCGGCTGAACATGAGCCGGCAGTGTGCCCAGGCGGCCAAGAAGGCCAATGGCATCCTGGCCTGTATCAGAAATGGTGTGGCCAGCAGGAGTAGGGAAGTGATCGTGCCCCTGTACTCGGCACTGGTGAGGCCGCACCTCGAATACTGTGTTCAGTTTTGGGCCCCTCACTACAAGAAGGACGTCGAGGTGCTGGAGCGTGTCCAGAGAAGGGCAACGAGGCTGGTGAGGGGTCTGGAGAACAAGTCTTATGAGGAGCGGCTGAGGGAACTGGGACTGTTTAGCCTGGAGAAAAGGAGGCTGAGGGGAGACCTCATCGCGCTCTACAACTACCTGAAAGGAGGTTGTAGCGAGGCGGGTGTTGGTCTTTTCTCCGAAGTAACAAGCGATAGGACGAGAGGAAATGGCCTCAAGTTGTGTCAGGGGAGCTTCAGGTTGGACATGAGGAAAAATGTCTTTACTGAAAGAGTGGTGAAACATTGGAGCAGGCTGCCCAGGGAAGTGGTGGAGTCCCCATCCCTGGAGGTATTTAAAAGACGTGTAGATGAGGCGCTTAGGGACATGGTTTAGTGGGCATGGTGGTGTTGGGTCGACGGTTGGACTCGATGATCTTAGAGGTCTTTTCCAACCTCAATGATTCTATGATTCTATGATTCTAAGAGATGCTGTTTAGGAAGATCAGCTCCTTGCTGCCAGCTTGCAGGACTGGAATAGCCACCTTCTGCACACTAACCCTGTGTGTTGGCATATGGGCTCAGTATAGTTTGGGTTCAGTATAATGTCCCCCAGAGGCAGTGGGCTCCCTGGAAGGTCTCTCTACAAGGAGCTTTTACAGTGACATGCTTGAATAAAGTTACATTTTTCAAAGGGTCCCACAGTGTGCCCATCAGAGCACTGACACGGCCCCTGCCATGTCCCTCCTACTCATGACAGGCTGGCAATGAGGTATGGTAGGGGTCTTCTACTGAACTGCTCTTTTACTCAAGCTCACTGGTTAACCCCAAGATTCGAGTCGTGGATTTCAGTGATCCTTCACCTTGGGGTTAACTGGGTGCTTCCCCAAACAGCTGCATTCCTCGGTTGAGGCCCCTTACAGTTTTCTCTAGTCTTGACTCTCCACTTCCTTCTCCCTTGCAGGCTTTTCCAGATGGCTTAGAGGCACATTAGAAGATGGGGTTAGCATAACTCCTAGGCAATGCCCTTTCCAGCCTCCTTGCTTAGAAATGTGTTTGTTCTAAAGCCTCGGTCGGGCAAAGCCCTGGTGGATACAGGTCCCTGCAAGCAGAGGGGATGGTGCCATGAGTCATCTGAAAAGAAATAACATTCCTGAGTTGGGTCTGGCTTTTCTTTGTTTCCTTTTCTGAACGCTGTGTTGTGCCCCTTGGTTGAAGCCCTCTCCCAGCCCTCCCTGAAAATGTGGGCAAAAGTAATAGAAAATGAGAAGCTCCAGTAATGTCCACCCTCACCTCTTGCAAGGTGCATTTGAGTAACCCTGCTGTGCTCAGGCTTTATGTGTGGTAAGAAGCTGTCTGAGCTCCCCACGAGAGGAAGCCCTGGTGTGAGCACATGAAGTGGATTGAGAGGAAGAGGAAGGAGCAGCAATAAAAATTCTCCTAATTAACCCATCCAGATTCTGACAATAAGCTGGTGAAGTGGAGACCACATGCTTTACTTATGCTTATCAGAGGAGCTCTTGGTTTCTCTTAAATGTGTGTTTGCCTGCTACAGGCTCTTACTGTGTGTGATTTCCCAAGCTATTCTCCAAGGAGAGCTGCTTTTCATTGTGGTGCAGTCAAAGGCTGGATACGTACAATGAAAGGCGCTGCCGGGATAGCTGTGGGCACCGCGATGAATTCTTTATCTATGAGCATCTTTTCTAAGAGGCACTCACTGAAGCCAAGCTGACTTGTTGCCCACGGTCAGTTCCTAAAATAACTACACCACAGGCTGAGCTGTAGCTGAGCTGCTTCTTCACATCGTGCTGTGCCTGTATAAAAGGTTTCAGCTCAAGGAATTGGGACCCTTGTGGGTGAAAGCACCGTCCCCCCGACCTTTACCCCACTCCCCTGCACAGTAACTAACCAGACCATCCACTGTGTGTTACAGCAACTGAAACACCCCAACCTGGTGAACCTGCTGGAAGTGTTCAGGAGGAAGCGGAAGCTGCATCTGGTCTTCGAATACTGCGACCACACAGTTCTCCATGAGCTGGACAAGCACCCCCGGGGGTGAGTGGCCTGTCTCTCACTGGGAGCTCTGAGCAAAGGAGTCAGGGGGTGTCTATGTCGTTGCTGCTCTGCAGAGTTTTCAGAGGGATTTCATTAATTACAGGGGAGGTTTCTCAGCCCAGTGCCCAGGACTTGCTCTGTTACTGTGGTTTGGCAATGACGTCCAAAAGAATTGTGTATGAGCCTGCGTGCGCTCCTGCACAGTCCTGCTCACCAAGGAGACTGGGGCGCTGAGCCTGAGCGTTTGGGTGATCTTTGGCTGGCTCAGCAGCAGCAAACCCGAGTGGCTCGGGAGCATCTTGTGTCTCACTGTGAAGAGGTTAGGGCTGCTGGGGGGATATGGGCAGGTGGGCTGGGGGCACGCAGCCCTCCTTCCTGCTGCTCCCCAGGTGTGTTGCCCATCACTGTGGGAGGCTGTGCAGAGCCAGGCTGTGGGCACTGGGGCAATGTCATTGAGCACCCAAATACACTGTCTGTAGTGATGTCACTGATGACCCATATGACAGACCAGTGACTTTTAGCCATGCTGCTGCGTTAAGGAGTATGCGTTCGTCGGCAGGAGTTAGCAGGAGCTGTGCCTGCACCTCTCTGCACAGCCTCAGTGAACTCCCAGGTCAGATACCCTCTTCTTTAAACAGGCGCTTGCACAAAGTGTGAGCTACATGGGCAGAAGGAGCATTCTCCAGGACAGCGTTTGTTCTTTTGACACATTATAAATGATACTCCCACTAAATACATCGTCCCTAATTATTCACAGTGACTTGGTGCTGTGGAATTGCTAAGCAGAAGTTCATAAATCATTTTACAGGCCTGGAGCTAAATGAATTGCCTGCAGGAGGATAATTGGAGGTTGAGTAAACAAGAGCCTGTTATTCTCTTTCTCCCTGATGTGGAGCTCTAGAAGGAGAATGGAGCATGCTGATAGCAAATGGCTTTGTGAGCTGGTGAGCAGCTTTCACCCCAGTTTGAACCTGTTCACCTGGAATCTGAAGAGAGGATGGATAACCCTCTTTGAAGAAAATACTTCACATTTGCTTTCTATTCATCAGAACAACTCCAGTGTGAACAAACATGTAATGCCTGGTTGCATACTTTGCTTTTGATCTTTGCTAGGGCAGATGGTCAAGTCTTTTGTGGTCAGGATTAGGATGGGTGGGCACACGCCTCTTTGCACCATGTTTCCAGGTCATTTGACCAACTTCATCCCCTTGTCAGGCTGTCAGTTCATCACTCTCATCATTCTAGGAAGTTTCTGCAAGGAAACTCTAGCATTGCAACAGCAGTGTCAGCACAAAACCTTCAGCACTGACAGCAGAAGGTGCCTTAAAGAAAAAGCAAGGCTTCCTGCATATTGTTTTAGTTTAGTTTTTTGGGTTTTTTTTCTTTATGATGAATCAGAAGCTTTTCAGCATTAAACACATGAAATAAAATTGGATTTGAGCTTGAAAGTGCCAAGATTGTCACCTCTGCCTTTCCTGGGGTTGTTGAAGACCGTTACAGACAGCCAAGGAAGTTTAAGAACTGTTGCACGGTAACTGAAAGAGAGGAGAGGAGGCTGGATCTTTAACAGACGTTTTCTTTCTCTGAAGTGTTTGCCAGCCATTGGAGGGAAGGAGAGGAGATGCAAACCAAAGCAGAGCTTTATACTCTTGTAGGAACATCCTTCCCCCTCCCATTTTGGTCACCTCTCTACTCTGGAGAGTCAATGACATGACAACGTTGCAAGTCAGAGCATGCATCTATACCATGGATACTCCACCACCTCCAACTCTCTGAGCAGTTGCAGAGGCAGAAATGCCTGCTGGCATTTCAGGAGGATTGCCAGGAAGCGTGGATACTAAGCACAGCCACAAGACAGGATTTGACACGGACTTGCATGCACTGATGTGTAGTCACCAGTTGGCAGGCCTCGTGCTGGCTGTGACTGAGTGGTACCAGACACTCTGGCATGCTCTTAGCTGCCATAAATCCTGGTATCTTGTTGCATTGACTGGATTTGGAAGTGGTGTTGACGTTCCCTTTGATGCTCCTGCGATGTTTGAAGGGTAACCTCACAGGAGGCATTGCTCAGCCTCAGCTCTGAAACATGGGAAGAGGTACAAACAGCCTCCACCATCAGCAGCCCAGCATGACTGGTTCCCTGCAGTGGAAGATCAACGAACTGAGGGTTATTATGTATTTCCTGTAACTTACTTACAGCAAGAAAACGCATCTAGTGTTTTTTCTCTGAGTTTTCTGACTTGGTCCCTGATGGTTTTGCTCAGAGATCCCTGTACAATGTTAGCACTCAAAGGCCTCCTCTTCCTTTTTCCTCTAATAGTGAAGTTATTTTTAATGGCCAAAATAAAAATGTGCTTTTTTAAAACAGGGTGCCGGAGCATCTAGTGAAGAGCATAACCTGGCAGACCCTCCAAGCTGTGAACTTCTGCCATAAACACAATGTAAGTCCCCTAAACAGCACTAACACTTGCTGTAACATAGCTTTGGAGGAGAAGGAGATTCTGTTGCCGTTTTCCTGATTACAGAGCTTTCATGGGACAAAGTCAGATGAAATTTCCTGTTTTCAACAGGAAACATATATCTGAAGTATTAGTGTATACCCACAACAGTTGCATTTACTATCACACAGGTCCCTTGGGTTTGCTGTCAAGGAATGATTTGCACTAATGACCTTAGACAAGCTTCCAGGCTGAACAGGAATATATCTTTGTATGTTCCCTGTGCCACACATTAGAACTCATGTTTAGAAAACTGGCTAACATCTAACATCTAACCAGCTGAGACCTGTGTAAACTGCAACTGATTTCCCAGGAAGTCCTCCTATTGATAGTCATAGGCATTGAATCATGTTACCAGTTAAAAGGTTTCAAAAATTAGGTACAGTAAACCAGTTTTACAACCCCTCCTCTGCTTTCTGGAGGAAAATGTGCGTGGCAAATATTTTGTAGGAAGCAGTTGCGACGCTTTAAGAAGCGGGGAAGGAAAGGAGCCTTTTGAAGAAGTTCTTTAGGCAAACTTAGCTGTCATTGTTTTTGTTTATCTGCCAATGTTTGAGATTTAAGAGTCGGGCGGGAGATCGCTCTGGAATGGGTGTTTTGTCATTGCTGGGAGAATTATGTCCAGCTGAGCCACAGGAACTTGGCCATAGGTCTCTCCTGCTTCCAGGATTTGTTGTTTTTCTTCTTTTTTCTGTTCCCCCACTCAATCTGAAAGATTTAATGGAGTTTTAAAGCCAAGGGAACAATGAGATGCTGCAGTCTGACCTGCTGTAGATCACAGGTAATGAGGTTTTATGCAGCTGCCTTTTTTGGAACTCCATGACGCTGGTTTAACAAGCAGCATTTCAGGCCTCAGGAAGAGACACAATCATTTACCACCAGCTTAGCTAGGAAAAGTCCAAGGTGTTTGTGCTGAGGTGATGGTAGGGGAAGGACAACGTGAGCTAGACCCTGGTGATTTTCAGTAGAACACACCTTCCACACACGGGCAGAAGAAATGAAGGTCTCTTCTAGTTTGATCAGCAGAAACTCTTTCCCAAGCCCAAATTCAGTTGTTGTGAACCTTCAGTGGGCAAGGTGACTTCTCAAGAATCGCAGAATTACTGGTGTTGGAAGGGACCTCTGGAGATCATGTAGTCCAGCCCTCCCACTCAAGCTGGGTCAGCTAGAGCAGACCGCTCAGAAACTTTTCCAGTCAGGGTTTGAATATCTCCAAGGATGGAGGTTCCACAGACTCGCTGGGCAACCTGTTCTGGTGTTTGGCTACCCTCACAGTAAAAAAAAAAAAATTGCTTACATTTAAATGGAATTTCCTGTGTGTTCAATTTGTGCCCATTGCCTCTTGTCCTTTCACTGGACATCACTGAGGAGAGCCTGGCTCGGTCTTCTTTACTTCTTCCCATCAGGTATTTATACACATTGTTAAGATCCACCCTGAGCCTTCTCTTCTCCAGGCTGAATGATGGTCCCAGCTCCCTCATCCGCTCCTTGGATGTCAGATACCCCGATCCCTTAATCATTTTAGTGGCCCTTCACTGGAGTCACTCCAGTGTGCCCACATCTTCCTTCTACTGGGGATCCCAAAGCTGGACACAGAACTTTGTCTCACCTGTGCTGAGTAGAGGGAATATCAGGCGTGCTCTGGCATCTACAAGGATCAAGTCCCACATCTAAACCAGAGCCTTCATCTCATCTGTGAGCTTTGCCAGCAAAATCATTTGTTTGTCTACTAGATTATCGGTAAATACAGTTCATGGACTTTGTCCAGGAACTGATCCCAGAGGATCTCATTAGGATCTCCTCATATATTCGTAAAACTGTGTCCCTTATTAGGAGTGTGTTGCACATGTTAGGAGTGTGTTGCACATGGCTGTATCAAGTGAGTTACATTTGCAGAGGGCCAGGTTAACAACAATCCTTGCTATGCAAACCTCGCTCCTCCTGCTAGCGGATTCCCAGCTGGTTCTGGGGAGCTGACTCGGTGTTGTCCAAGTGATACAGAGCTATGCAGCTGAAACTGGGAGCCTGCACAGTGTCTTATCCCAAAGCTGGGGTATAGGCGGGGTAATTGTCCTGCCCAGCAGGACGTGGCTTTAGCTGCTGTTAAGAAATCCTTTCATCTTCTCTTTCAGCAGGAATGATTGCCTGGCACAATGTGCAAGGGGGATGTGGCTGAATTAAGAGGTTCTTTATCTGAGGGCCAGGTTAAATACTTGCTTCTAACCTTGTTTTTTTCTGTTTCCAGTGCATCCACCGAGATGTAAAGCCAGAAAACATCCTGATAACAAAGCACTCAGTCATCAAACTTTGTGACTTTGGATTTGCTCGCATACTGAGTGAGTGCCAGCTTGCTACTTACACGGATTGTTAACACGTGAAAGCTCAAATGAAGTGTAGGATCAGGCTTTCAAACACTAGTAAAGACTCACTTGTCTTTGTCTGATGCACGTGTAAATCATCCTATATAAAGGCTGGCGTGTTTTCACAGAGAAGCTCTGCTAAAGGCTGGGTAGAGATCCCCAAACCAGCTTAAAGGGAGCTAGCCCAGACACCGCGATGCCAAGTGCTTCTGTAAACAAACTCTGTCTGAGCTCCCCGCTGGTGCCACTGAACTGCTGGTGGTGTTGGCGCTGGTAGATGGAAGTCGGCCTTGGGCGTCTTGGAGCTGCCCAGCCATTGCTTATGCAATACTGGAGACACAGCTGGAGTTCCCTGGCAGGAGGAGCCCCTCTGGCAGAAGGCGCTGTCTCTGCAAACAATGGCTTCACATTTTCCATTGTAAATAAACCCCCTAATCTGTTTTTTTTTTGGCTCTTGCTCAGACAAATCACGTGGGCTTTGAGAACTGACCACTGGCTGGTGCAGGGCCCTGCTGAGGAGCTCTGCATATTTTCATTTGGAGAAAAATATGGTCTTGATTTTTGCCAAGTCTTAAGTGTTTCCAAAGTTGGGTTCTGCTAGTGGCCAGTGACTCATCCTGTTCCTGTAGCTACTGCCCGCCCAGGAGGTGCCCCAACGTGTGTAACAACTAATGTTGGCTTGTCTGCATCGTTCTGATCCCACATTCCTGTTTGTTTCTCTTCTTCCCGACCCCAACCTAGCTGGTCCAAGTGATTATTACACAGACTATGTGGCTACCAGGTGGTACCGCTCTCCGGAGTTACTTGTGGGAGACACCCAGTATGGGCCTCCCGTGGACGTGTGGGCGATTGGCTGTGTGTTTGCAGAGCTGGTATCCGGGGTCCCCCTGTGGCCGGGCAAGTCTGATGTCGACCAGCTGTACCTCATCCGGAGGACCCTGGGTAAGTGTCCCTTCTGCGCCGGCCAGAGCCCTGGTCTTCCCGATGCCTTTGGCAGGACTAGAGCTTGCCCAGGAGGAGTTTCCTCTGTGGTGGGAATCGGGATTGGCCAGGGTGTGAATTTACCCAGTGGATCTCTCTCTTTAGCAGGTGCTGGCTTTATTTGAGGTGTTACTGTCCTTGAAAGGGAGCTGGGTTTTCCTGGCATGACTTACACATGCAAGTCTTGTTAGGAGATTGCGTAGTTGGAGTAACACATGCTGCTGCCGGTCCTGGCAGGACCTGGGGAAACAAAGTTGGCATCCACGTGGGCGGTGACTGTTCTTCAGAAGAAGATCTGTGGGGTAGAATTGGTTTCACCTTGTATGAGCCAGCAGTGCCAGGCTGTGGCTAAAAGGCTCACAATGGACAGGGCTGTGTAAGCAGGACCATTGCCTGCAAACTGCCTGAAACCGTTCTTCCACTTTTCTTTAGCAGTGGTGGCCTCTGGGAAGCTTGGTCTGGTGCTGGGCAGTTTAAGAAAGATGTGGGATGTGTTAGGTGACCACCGGATGCCCCTCCTGGTCCTTTTGGGGTGGCTCAGTGACTACCGGAGTGTGGGGAGCACAGGGCTGGCCCCGCAGGAGGCACAGAAACACCTGCCTCTGCTGCTGTCCTTTCCACATCTTCAGCTGTCACCGCACAGATAGAAAAATGAGATGCCTGTATCAGAAAGGACCAGGAATGTTTTGCATAAAGCTTTGAAGGATCCAGGTATTTTTCAGGGTTTGGTACCAGCTATTGGTCCTTGCTTCTAGGTCACGAATAGTTGGATTTAGTTCATCACAGCTTTGGAGGTCTCGTAAACAAGGCAGGTGCCTGCTGGTGGCTGTGTGCTTGGGAAAGCCAGTGTGAACAGTGAAGTTTGGCTGTTCCACCTGTTTGTCTTTATTCACCAATGAATTTTAGGAGCCACTCCAGATTTGGAACAGAGGTTAAATAAAAGAGCCATTATCTGTGTAACATTTAAATTAATCCAGTCTCATTGATTCTGTTTGATGTTGGTGTGTAACATCTGATTTCTTGAGTGGAAAGGAACAAACCGCCACTTTTAATTAAAATTTGTTGGAATGAATCGAGAATTGTAATTTTTACTGAGCAGTTTATAAAACTATAAAGGTGACTAATGGCTTTAAACAGATAAGCTCCTTAGCTAGAAAAATAGTTCAACGTTGATTGCTTCATCCTCCAGAATACACTTATGCCAGTGTTAGGTAAGTTATAATTTATTTTTAATGATAGGGTTTCAGCCAGAAGAAATTCCCTTGTGATCCAGGTGATGGCCTGAGGCAGTGTTTACAGAGAAAAGCTCCTTGGTCAAAGCTGTGTAATTAGGGTGGTTTGGCTATTGTACTGGCTCTTTTGTTACGGATTTGATTTTAACATTTTGCTTGCTCTGAGCTGCTCTGAGCTTCAAAAAAGGGCCATGGAGGCCCATGCATTTCCCCATTTCCCCATGCATTGGGGAAAAGCTACAGCTTGTTCCTGTTGGTGCTGCATTTCAGCTCTTTTCTATACAACATCCTCAGGAGTGTACAAAAAGAATTTCACCCAATAGGAGTTAAATTTGAATGAAGCTGGAACACTTGTGGTTAGCCTGTCCCCTTCCAGCAGTCAGAGGAGACACGACTGTTTATGCAGACAGACTGCCCCCTGGGAACCCTCTTCCTTTGAAAATGCTGCGTGGAAAGCAGGCCAGCAGAGCCCTGCTCACCCTCCCTCGAACAGAGCACACCAACAAAGCGTGCCCACGCTGCCACCTCCAAACCAAACAGTGGCTCCTGCCAGTTACTCATGGGCTGGCCCATCGTGTCTGATGTGTGCAGGGGATTTAGCTGCTGATCTGGTCTTGCTCAACACTTTGGGAAGGATCCCTGGCTGAAGCTCAGTGCTGTGGCATGGCTGGAGTTTCGGATCCTGGTAGGTGTTTGCACAGCACCCTCTAGCTATGATGCTGCACTGACACACAGATCTTGAGTTCGGCCGGCACGCAGCGGAGGTACAGGTGCTGGCACAGAGCAGACGTGTTTGTGCAACTTAGTGCCTTGCCCACCTCATTGCCTGGTGTTCTACCGAGGGGTCTTTTTGCTAGTGCAAATCCAAATTTGCAGTTACCCAAATAATGCAGTGATAGGATCTAGGCATTTGGCATGGGGAGATAGATAGAAATACGTATTTTTCAAGGCCCCCGGCTATAGTGGCCACAGTTCATAAAAGCCACTCTGCTGCACAGCAGAGAAACTCAGAGCCTGGAGGAGGCGCAGCAGCTGAGTACTCCTGCTCCAAAAACTGCTCCCACCAACTGAATTTCTTTGAGCTATTTACAGCATGAGGCCCTGGGCAGTTGTGACTGCGGGCAGCTGGAGCTGCGTGGCCCTGCCTTTCGTTCAGCACAGTCACACGTCTGTGGGATCACTGACGTCCTAGATGGACGTTAGTTTTCACAAAAGAACTTTTCATCGGCTCACTTGATGGTACTCCATCTCTTTAGATGTTCTCACGGATGGTGTCAGCCTTGTAGGGGCTATAAGCTCGTTCAATGCAGGCACTGTAAAAACAGCAAATTAATCTGACTTTGTTTTTTTTATTCTTGGTCAAAGGGGATCTTATTCCCAGGCACCAGCAAGTGTTCAGCACCAACCAGTTCTTCAGCGGGGTAAGAATTCCAGACCCAGAGAGCATGGTAAGAGCTCCCTCTAGACGCACTTCCCCTGAGCCTAGCACTAACCAGCAGTCTGTCTGCAGTGCTAAGGAGATAAGGTGTTTGGACAGAGAAATGTTCCTGCTTCTTTTTACCCAGAGTACGTGTGCTATCTGCTCTGGAAGTATGGCTGGAAAAGCCTCGCTTGCTCAGCTTGACCAGTCCTTTGCTGTGCAGAATTTTTTCCCTATCCAAAAGCTTTGCCCTCTACTTCGCCGATGTACACTAGAGTATTATTTGGAGGTGGCTGAACCCCTCTCGTGACGTTTTAACCGATACCCTGTGTAAAAGCAGTCAAACAAATGCTTAATCTCTGCTCCTTCTCCCCCCTTCTGGTGGCACAGCAGCCAACCTACCCATCCTCAGTAATGCCAGGCAGCTCCCCTCTAAGCACGTGAAGTGACAGATGCATTTTATGAGGTACAGGTCATGTTGCTATGGAAAGCCGGTTCTCTGTACCCTGATGAATGAAAAGCTTGCTAATATGAGTACGCTCACTGTTTTTTTTCCCACCAGGAGCCGTTAGAAATGAAATTCCCTAATATTTCATACTCTGCTTTAGCTTTCATGAAGGTAAGAAAATTACAGCTGGTGGAGGAGCTCTGCACTGAGACTTAGCAAATGCGGTCTGTTTTGCTTATCAGCTGGTAAATGGTTTGAGAGTTGGCTACTGAATTATCAGAAATTCATTGAAAAATAGAGCTGGAGGGGATTTGGAGAGGACTTTTAATCCACTCCTCTCTAATCCACTCGTCTTTACCATGGAGGTGGAAAACATATTATTCCCTTATTAAGATGCAGTGAATGGAAACTGTGAGGATGGAGGCACTAAAAAGGAGGTGCAGCTGTGGATAGTCCTAGCTACGCTAAACACTGGAACAACACAGCTAGTGCCATAGCGGATTCCCCCGTTAAAGAAAGTTGTTCTAGTTCAAATGAAAGTTACGGGCTTAACTGGTTTTTGAGGCTTGATGGTTTGCTACGCCATACGATTGTTACTGTCCCTCTAGCCGCAGTTTCTGTTACTGCCTTGTGGCAGTTATTCAGTATTAGCTGCTTTGCAAGCTTCATGCTGACTCTGAAAAGCCACTCTTAGAATCCATTAAAAAAAAAAGATTAACACATCTATCTGTGCAAATACTCGTTGGCTGTGGTGAGTAGCTGGAATTGTGCAGACCTGTTTAACGAGCCTTTTCTGTGATCCTTTTCTTCATCTTTTCCAAGGGTTGCCTTCGTATGGACCCTGCGGAGAGGCAGACATGTGAGCAGCTGCTGCAGCATCCCTATTTTGACAGCATTAGGGAGGCAGCGGATCTGGGGAAAGAACATGAAAAAACGGCTCGGAAGCCAGCCAGGCTGACTCGGAAGCACATGCCAGGGGTAACACTGTCATAGCAGTATTTAATGTTCTGTGCCTTAGGAGGGGACTGGTTCTCTTTGTTTGGCTCCCAGGAGGTGGGCTCATGCTGGCAGTTAACGTTGAGAGAGAGCTCCTGCATTGGACCAATCTTAATTTTAGCCCGAGGAGAAAATGAACCTCCTGGCTAAAGAGTAACTCAGTACAAACTGAATTCTACCTTGCAGCTCCATTGAGTCGCTGGGGATAAGCAGCACGGCGATGCGAAAGATCAGGTTTATCCGGGAATGTGCATTCCCGACAAAGAATAGCAGGATAGCTGAACAAACTGGACATGCTTGCATGGCTGGTTTAATCTGGAGTTCTCTGGGATCTGTCTGATGCGTTTGAAATCCCACATTATGGAGACGGCAAAAATGCCCAGTTCCATTTGTAACTGCTGCTGGGATGTGATCCCTTACTCGGTTCCAGACGTTACACAATCCACTGGGTGTTTCTGCAGCTGGAGCTGCCAAGCAAATGTCTCCCTGCCATTTCAGTCTTTCCAGACGCCAGCCCAAGTCTCCAGATCCAGCCTCATGATGAGAGTCAGTCAGCAGTTCCTTCTTCCTGTGAGCCCCGTTCCCCATGACAGCTCTAACACTGAACGGGGAACATGCAGGGAAGCTGGAGGGGTAGGATGGAGAACTGCTACAGCATATAAATTCCTGGATCAAACTGATTCGCCTTCTCCATTTCTGTGACGTAGGATGTAACAGGAATATTTTTCTTGCCCTGGATGACTGGAAGAAATACCTTTAATAAGCTGTTCTGGTTGCAGTCTAGTTGTAGAACACCAGATCCATGACTCTTAGTTTGGAAAGTACAGGATTACAGCACGAATAGTTTTGTAGCTTACATTCCTTTTTGAAAAATGAAATGCATGCTCTATTCTCATTTCAAACAAATACACACTATGTAACTTTTCCTTTAGTTACAGTACCTGCCTCAGTTAACCAGTAGTAACGTTCTGCCAGCTTTGGACAGCAAGAAGTACTGCTGCAAAACAAGGAAATCAGACTACCACTTCCCCAACATCTAACCGGATGGCAGATTAAAAACTGTTTATTGTTCAAAGTTCGAGTCATTCAGAATTTTTAAAAGGAGGATACGTGGTGGAAAACTAAATTAATACATGTTATGACATCTACAAAAGTGGTCTGTCAAGTAATGTATTCTGGGTCACTACTGGAAGGAAAGTGATGCACCGAGAAAGCTCCAAGCTCACGTTAGTCAGTGTTCTGTGTACAAAGGAAAATACATTTGTTTTGCTTTAATTCGTGATTGTATACTGGTTCGGGATTGTATACTGGTTCAGGAGTACCGCAACCCAGTGTTTACAGGCTGAATTTAAAAACTCTTGCCTGTCTATCACCTGTATTTCAGACTTGGCAGAGGAACTGCAACCTCGCCAAATAAATCAGAGTCCCACCATGTCAACACAGCAATAGTGCTTTGGGCTGGGGCTAAGTCACTGATCCCGCAGGGAACCGGCAACGTATTGCCTGTGCCAGTAGAAGAGAGATGTACGTGTTTGTGGAGCCGAGCCTGATGATGAGGCTACCGAACCGGTCCAGTTAGTTACAAACCTGCTGAAATAGCACTGCTTTAAAGATAGGTCTGTCTTACATACTGCGTTTCTAGATCACAAAGTATCAGAAGTACTGGTAATGACTTAGACTTAATGGAAGGCTCGACAGGCGCTGCTACCAGGAGAACGTATAAACAATAAAACCTGTTGTTTCTTTAGTCTTTTCAGAGTTTCTCCTGCCTGTTTCTTCCTTGCCTTATGAGGTTGTTTTTATTTGCTGTTTCTGTCAATAGTGAAGTCACTTGCCTGTAGTGTTACAGAAATTGTTTTTATCAAAAATAATTCATGAATATAATTTATAACATTGGCCAGACACAGGCGGGAATTCTACCTAAGCATATGTATTAGAATGCTTCTTGGGTTTTGTGTAATCTCAGGATGTAGTATTGTGTTGATTTTGAATAAAATAAATGTAGCTCATTTTTCCAGTTTACTGGATGTGTTTTACTGTATAGAGTTTTACTACTGGGCAAGGAACGTCCTCTTTCTCCTTGAAACCTAGAGCAAAAATGTTTTCTTTTCCCAGTACTGTTTGTGTTCAACAACAGTAAAAGCAATTTCAATGGGACAGGTGCCATATCCTTACAGAGTGTGCCTGTCTGCCTTTTATTTCATATTACAATTTATTATATTTTAATCTTGAACATTGTGTCCATAGATCGTGTTGGTTACGCTCAGAAAGCTTTGGCGTTCCGGTACTTTCCGTATGGATATTCAGCCATCTAATCCCATACACGTGCAAGGCACGGCAGCACCCACGCGCCGTCCGTAAGCAGTAGATAGGACACAGCCCTGGGCAGCGCAGGCTGGAGGGAACGTCACCTCTGGACACCGTTCCTGCCCGCTCTGTGCTAGGAGATACCAAGGAGAATCAGCCCCACGACGCAGCTAGTGCACAATGTTGTCCTTTCCGGTGCTTGGCATCATCTCCTTCAGAGGACAAGCTGACCATCGGGGCAAAGAAAAGAGACTCAGTCGTGCCGAGGTAGCCGTGTCTGAGACATCACTATGAAATCTGCTTTCTTGGAGTCGTCGCCTACCGCCTTTCTCTCCCCTACCACCGAAGCTAGGAATTTGACTAAAAATGCCATATTCTTCCAGAGGATGAATCATTCTCTTGTTTAGCAGGAGTGATATGGGTGCAACTAAAGAGGTACACAGAACTAACTTAGTCCGTGTCAGCATACAGCAAAAATGTGTGCAAGGGCTTATCTAAGAGACCCTGCTTCCCCACAAATACAGCAACGTTCCGTTCCTCGGCTCGGTGTTTATGAGAAGGTAAGACTGCCTGTCTGTAGATCACTCCATTTAAAACAAACAAAGGCTACATGAGTCAAAGCGTGAAGAACAGAAAACAGGCCCATAAGCTATTTTATTAAATCATCACCCATTGACTGGGCGAGATTCTCGGGGAGTAAACGGCTCTCATTCATTCCCACAGCATGGACATCATGCAATAAAAGCGTACAGCGCTGCCGTTTCACAACACTGACGTTCTTCCCACTGTCATTTTGCACAAGAATTGCTGTGCAATAAAGTATTTGAAAACTTCTCATTGATGTATTGACAGCTTCCTATAAAAACAGGAAAAAAATGACCATGCACAGAAGGCTACCTTCTCTGCGGTTGATTCACCGTATAGTTTAAGCTTAATAAGACTTAATTGCATAAAAGCTTGCATACAGCTTTTGAGGCTGGATCGGGAGATCTGGGCTTATTTCCATACCTGGAAATACAGTAGCGTCTACAACTTAATTTATGCAACATAGGATAAATACTATGAAATCAAATACATCTGTTACGTGCAATTGCGTTTATTCTAAATCCAGCTCCAGCTCTAGGTTTGGCAGTGCCTGCTGAAGGATGCGAACAGTAGTTTCTTTCTCTCTTATTCCAGGAAGGTCACTCAGATACAAATATTCAAGGTTCCTATAAATATTTAAAAAGAAAAGTCAGCAACTACTATTTAACTGTTGACACAGAAATTAGACAAAGGATTATTCTACCATAGTTTTTTGGAGGATTTTAAAAGGTTCTAATGTAAGTTTTTTTCTGAAGTGGGTCCTTAAAAGTTTTTAGCTCACCCTAAGTTCAGTCCTTCTACACAGGTTAAAAAGAGATCCTGGACCCCCCACATCATGAAGCTTCCTTTGTATTAAACAGTATTTAATAATTTCAGTAGCAATTTAGTAAAAGTTATTTTAATGTAAATAATAATGTAGAAAGTCCTTAATAATAGCCTTCTGCAGGATGAAATCCAAGTCACCACATCACCCATTTGTAGACGTCTGTTAACTCCGTGTAATACTAAACAGTTCCGAGTTACTTTAAGGCCACGGTTCAATAAGGCACCTACGGATGCGCTGCAGAGCTACAGAGCTGCACGGTATCCCACCCATGCCTGAGCGCTAGAAGACACAGCTCTGCCCTAAGACCTTGCAGGCTACAGTGAGCACGAGGTGACCGAGCGATAGGAAGCAGTGTGAGGTGTAGGAAGACAGTAAGTTGCAGGACACCGTCAAAGCCTGCCCTGAAAAGGGACTGCAGCAGGGGGGGCAGGAGTAGAAACCAAGGTGATCATTCATTACTTATTCTCAAGCAAAACCCACCTCGTGTGCCAGCGTGAAAGGAAGCTGCACGCATTCACTGCTCTTGCAAAGGTTGTGTGTCGGCAGAGGGCACGTGTCCTGCTCTAATTTGCGCAGCAATCAACATTGCGTAAGTTAATTCAAGCGTCAATGGGAGATGCTGTGCTCAGCTCTGAGGATAGCAGCGCAGCTATGGATTCACGTACCGCGGCGGATGATCCTGGCTCTCTCAGCTGCAGGCCTCAGTGCTACACAACTCCCTGACACCAGCCTTACAAGGCTGATTAATATGCGTATGTTAATCCGCACGGCTTTTCAGAGCTATCCACAACACTGTCTTCAACCACGCTTGAAGAAACGTTTCCTGCGCTGGCAGTGCCATCCCTCCCAGGCTGTCATTCAAGTCAGTCCCCAAACCCAGCCATCCCACAGCCTCGCACAGGTCTGAAACAGCCCAGAAACATTCAGACTTCAGCCCTTCAGCCAACACGATCCCGAAACAGCAGGGTGGTAACAGCTAGGGAGCAAGACCACCTCAGCAGCTCACGTACGTCAGCTTGTGCAGCGCAATGATGCCTTTATCTGTGACGTTCCCACAGGAAATTATCTTCAGCTGGAGGAGACTCTTCTGTAGATTCTTCGTCTCGCTGAGCCTCTGCAGACACTCGTCCTGTATGTAAATACACTTCTGCAGCTTGATTTCTGTAACATGTTCAAGACCATCTGGAAAGACAAAAATGAGTACTTGCTTCAGAATACCAGGAACAACCCGTACTCGTTAAGTTCTCACTCGCCAATTTAGTAACTGCCTCCAAAACCACACAGCAACACGCTCCTCTGTACAGCGAGGCTGTAACGCGCAATGAAGCTCCAAAGTCCCTTTATGGAACTTCAAATCTATGAAACCCCCCCGGGTTTGTATCCTTTTGGTAAGATTCTAAGAGCTCTGACATGGGCAAGTAACAAAAAAAGCTCTACAAGTTTGGGAGATAAACAATGGCTCTGAATTAGGAACATAATAATGCAGGAAATTCAAGGTACCCTGCCAATAAAAAATAAAATGGTCTGTTCCCCATTTTGGTTTTTGTTATTTAAAGGAGACCTGAAACAATCTCTTTTTTATTTTGTACGAAACTGAGAGCTTGCTGCTTTTTTTTTTGTCTTTGAAGACATCATAAATGCCTGGAGAACAAGGAGTATTATGACTTCACAGACACCAAAAACGTCCCTTGGTTTAGAAGAAAAAGAATATTTAAAGTAGTGCTTTTTGCTACCAACTATTTAACTATGAACTCAATGAAATAGCAAATCTTTGCCGCACTTCCTTAGTGCTGCTGTCACTTCAGGTAAGGGCTGATGAAGTTCCCAATCTCTTTCTGCTTCACACCACACCTCCAGCAAAATCTCAGGAACTACTGAACGTTTGTAGAGCCATTTAAGGAAAAAAGAAAAAACGAAAAAGATTTGAAAAGATTTCTCTATATCTTACTAAGGAACGAGAAAACGACCCGGTTATTTGTATTTTGATGCAACTGAAAGAACTAAGACCATTCAGTATAATCTTTGCACGGCTGTGTCTACATTACCCAGATAGTCAAATCCTCTGTACATGATGCAAGAGTCAGTGGCATTAATTGCTTCTATCTTGTACTTCCCCAGGGGCCCCGTTGGGAGGCCGTTGTAGTCCTGCTGCCATTTCTGATAGCCTTGATAGCGCACCAGGGCACCACATCGCAACAGCCATTCTGAAGCTGCCCTGTCAGGGCCAACGGCTTGTATACGTTCGTAGTCCACTCTGCCAAGACAGAAGGAGCATTCACCCGGTTTCTATAATGTGGCAGATTTATTGTCTTTACAATAATGCTACCGCACAACAAATATTTGGGTATATGCATGATAAGATGTCAGAAAAGTAAAAATATGATTTACTGGAAGTGGTTTACGTATAATTATTTGGATTGTGCTGGTTCTTAAGCAGTCTGGCATAAGGTTTTTTAAAACTTGTTTTAAATGGCAGTTACTTTTGGTAAAAAAAGAAAGAACACAAATGCAACTTGACTTGGCACGTGTTAACCCTTCTCATCGATTGTTTCCTTCCATGTCTGTAAGGAGAGATAAAAAAATGCCTTTCTCTACCCAGAGTAAGGCTTTACGACAATTGCAAATTTGTCCCCCAAACATATTTTGATTATATAAAAACTGAACATTGCCTGTCACATGTGTGTCACTCCTGAAGCCTTCTTCTCAACAATTACAGTATTCAAAAAGACACACTTTAACTAATTGCCGAAGTCCCTGGATCCATCCAGTTAAAGGGTATCTTAGTCTGGTGAGCAATGCTGAAGACAGAAGTAGAGACCTGGAAGAGACCCCCCGTCTGGTTGAGCTTCCCGCCCCACTACAGCCATCAGCTACACCATGCAACGCTTTCCACAGAACTAGAAGACATAAGGCAAAGCTATTAGCTAGTGGCAAAAGTTATGGGCAGAGAAAGTTGCAGAGAAAGGCTTTATCTTTCTAAAAGTACATGCGAAACCCTTGTGTGGCTGAATCACATTGCGAACGACGGGTTGGTTAGATGCTTTTCTGAATAAGTAAAGGGGGCACGGTTGTGCTACTGGCTTAAATGCAGCCGGGGGTCAATGGAAGACTGGCATTGAGGGACAGAATCCACATCACCAGCTTGCCTCGGCCGCCCCGGGGCGGGGAGCAAAGCACAAACCTTCCCCTGGAAGGCCACAGCTTTGTAACTGGGAACAGGTAAGGAACGACCCCTGCCAAGCACCCACACGCAATCCGGGGGGAAAAGAAGCGCACTGATAATAGAAGAAGTCCTCTCCGGCCCCGGGACGCGATGCTTCCTCCGTCGCGAACCGCGCGGTGGGTAGGTGGGAGCCGGTAACCGACCTGCGCGCACCGGATCACCCTTACTTGTTGAAGACGGCGTTCAGCCACCCCCAGAAGTGCCTGCCGGCGCCCGGCGGCGGCAGCTTGCTTAGGCTGCACGCCGGCTGCGCAAGTTTGCCCAACAGC